CTGGGCATGCCCCCAACCCCAATACTGTAAGTTCCCTGAGGGCAGTTTTCCTACTCGAGGATTTCCACAGTGCTCAGGGAAATATGTGAGGGAACAAAAGGAGTGAATGTTTTCCAGGCCTCCTGCCCCCTCCAATGTGGCCGACTCCGCTTAGTCATCAGCAGGTCTCTGGGGAACCCGAGATGCCCCTACCCCCTGACTGGGTGGGGAGCTTCCTGACTGCCCCAATATGGCGGCACTGGCTGCACTGTGCCAGAATGACCTGTTGCCTTAGCCATCTCCCTGTGGACCAAGAACTCCTTGAGGGCAAGGCCTGGTCAGCCTCGATCTCCCAGGGGTCCTTGTTCTGGCACCATCCCTGCTGCCTAAATACTCATGGAGCCAAGGAATGAAGGGTGCTCTGGCTCCTAACTCCAGTCAGGAGCTGAAGCCTAGACCACCTGGAGGAGAGCGCAGGCAGGTACAGCAGTGAATCCATCACTGTCACTTCCTCATTCTGCTGCTATCACCTCTGCTGTCAGGGCCATGTCATCCCAGGGAGTGTGGATTTCTTCATTCCTTCCCCACTTTGTTGGAAAGAAACTTAAGGCATCTGAAACCCCGTGTGGCAGGGCTGGGATAAGGAGAGGAGGCAAGGAGGCTGGAGTCAGGATCCTTCTGCATGGTTGCCTGCAAGCATAAGGGCTTTCCAGAGAGTTCTGCCGACATGGCCCCATGGAAGTAGAGTGTTCCACAAATATTTGTTGAAGGGTTTAAAAGACTATTTTCTCCGACTCTCAAACCATGGTGCCAGTCTCGGCACCACCCCTTTCCGCACTGGCACCAGAGAATCAGGACAAGGCACCCGGGGCCTCTGATCTGGAGGTCAGTGCCCTTGTTTTAGAGCAGAGTCATCCAAGGCCCAGAGGCCAAGGCAGATATCCCAGAGGAGCACCCCCTCCCTCCCCAGGGCTCATTGCTAAATAATCACGGGAGCACATTCACTCGAGAACACGGTGGAAATCCCTGGCTCTGGACTCCCAGTCCAGTGCTCCTGCCTGTGCCCACAGCCACCTCCCAGGGGAATCTCAACCCCAAGCACTAACCAGTAAGACTAGAGCCATTAGTTAGCCCACGCACCTCCTAGATCTCCTAGGCCTGGCAGCCTTCTTTCAGCTGTTAACACTACCTTGCCTGGCAAGGTATACTCAACACAGCACGCTCGTTACAGAGCTGACAAGTGGCAGGGCTTGGGTCTCACCTCCAGTCTGCCTGTCCGAGGAGGCTGGGCTCTTCCTGTTGGGCCAGGCTGTTGCCTGATAGTCAACCACGGCAACACAGGGTAGTCAATGTCAAGGTCAGGAGAGAGGGGTTACTGTCTGGGAGGGCTCATGTTGGATTGGTTAGATTGGGGAGAAGTTCCTGGAAACAGCATTTGATCAGGGCTTTGAAGGTCAGGGAGGATCTGGCAGGAGGAAACAGGAGATGGAAACAACTCTGACAGAGGCAGGAGGGCCAAGCTCTGTCTGAGGGGCAGCAGGGAGCTTCTCTGACTAAAATGAAAGCGTGTTTTGGGGACACCTGGGTGGCTCAGTGGGTTAAGCGTCTGCCTTCAGCCCAGGTCATGATCTCGGGGTCCTGTCGGGCTCCCTGCTCAGCGGGGAGTCTGCTTCTCCCTCTCCCTCTGCTCCTCCCCCTGCCCCTGCACTTTCTCTCTCTCTCTCTCTCAAATAAATAAATAAAATCCTAAAAAAACAATAAAATAAAATGAAAGTGCATGGAGGGAAAGAGTGGCCGTCGAGGCCCACAGGGGATGCTGGGACGAGATGGGCCTTGGCCTCAAATGCGAGTCAGTGAGATTGGGCTGACTCCTGAAGGAACTAGGAAGCCGCAGTAGATTCTTGAGCAGGGGAACAACATACCTAGCAGGGAGCGAGACTTGCTGGACAGGGGTAGGGGGTGAGAGAGGAAAGGTGGGAATGTGGATGAGGGACTCTCTCTTAGTAACCAGCTCAGAGGAGGTGACCAGATTATTATTCTAGGATTTATATTATCAGATTAACTAGCTGTTCCATAGTGGGCCGGAGGTAAGGTAAGTTTCAGTGGAGGAAGGAGAAGCAGGCAGCCACAGGACCTGGGAAGGGCAGACTGGAAGAAGGGTACTTCACTTAGACCTTTATTGTGGGTAACTCCAGATTCCTGGGGGCTTGTTTTGGGGCTGAGGATGATTTCCTGCTGGGTGAATGTTTTCCTTGTGCTTTCCTGGGGAGCCTGTGTAGACAACTCCCAGGCTAGTCCACACTGCAGCCTGTGGGTTCCTGGAAGCATTTGGCCCAGAAGGCAGAGGCTTGGGTGCAAGCCCTAAATCTGCACGTACCCTTATGGGGCCGCCTCTTTCCCTAGGTTCCTCGATAAATCACCTGACTTAGAGGGTCATCACAGGCTTAAATGAAAAGCTAGATCTGAAAGTGCCTTGCAAACTGTAAAGGGCTGTAAAGGGGCTATTTTTCTATTTTCCTTTGAACAGGCCCTATATCTTGCCCCCGGAAGGATCTTATATAAAGATTTCAGCCACGTGTCCAACAAGGAAGGCAGCCATGTCTTCTGCCCTAAGCCAGAAGCCTATGATTCTTTAGTGCGGAACTGCTGGGACAGCTAAAAACTCCTCCCAGGGGTGGGGGTTGGGGGGCCTCTCAGCAACAGAGCTGAATTGAGACCCTCAACTCTCTGCACCCTGCTGCAGACCTTCATGGTGGAGGCCATGTCAGGTGCAGAGTCTCCCAGGCATCTCTAGCCGGCCTGCTGTAGTCTACCTCTGCCTTCAGACCCAGAGAGTCTGGGATCCTCCTGCTTTCTACTCCCCTGGAGACCTGAGTGTAGAGTTGACAGGGGCCCCGCTGTGAGAGGTGGGATGCCCTTGGGCTCCTGGGATGAATTCCTTGAGCTCTGTGTGAATTCCAGGCTGTAAGCGGAGGTCTTTCGTGTGCCAGGCACCAGGCAAAGCTCTCCACATCTGTCACCCCACTAACGATTTGGGGCCATGCCCTCTCTGGGTCTGTCTTTCCATGGCTGTTAAGTGAGGTGAGCTGTCTGATGCCCGAATGATCTGTGCTTGTGTCTCCTTCCCAGGGCTCCCTCAGCACCTGGCTCTGTGCCTGTTGGAGCATTTCTTGCATTCATTCATTCAGCATACATTTATTGGACAGCCCCTGTGTGTAGGCTGCTGTGCTGGGGGTTGGAGGCTTCTGGGGATTCCCAAAGACCTCACAGTCTAGCAGGGCCGACGTTGCTAAGCAGGGCCACACTGCGGTTCTCTGAGGGTCCTCACTGCCTATTCTTGCTCTCCCCTCCTCTGTGGCCAAGCTTCCCATCAACCACCCAAACTTGGCTCATGCCATCGGGCCAGCATGGAATGAATGGATTTTCTTTCCCTTTCCTTCCTGCCCCATATTTTAGGGCCCAGCTCCAATGCCACTCCCTCCACATAGCCTTCTAGGATTCTTATAACCCAAAGCAAATTCTCCTCCTTTAACCTCCCAGGTACTTACTCTCTTTGGCACATTATCTCGGTCTTGTGTTCTGGCTGATGGTGCCTGTATCTTATCTCTGGGAGGGCAAGATGGTGTCTGATTCATTTCAGGGTCCCCAGAACAGTGCCTAGGGCCTGGCACACAGTAGGAGGAAAGAATGGTCCAGGGCATGTGAATAGCTGCTACCATGAAGGTAGGAATAGAGTATGTGGTGGGGGGTAGGGGGGCCCAGGCAGAGGGGGAAGGCTATCGAACTCAGAAAGGAGGAAATGGCTTCACTGGATGAGGAAGGGCCTGTGAGGCATGGCAGGACAGTCAGAGGGCACTGAAGCATCCATCACACAAGTCAGACTTGCAGTTATAGGAACTGGCAGCTCTGGCCCCTAGGCAGGAGGAGGGGAAGCAGATAAGCTGATAGCAGGCCTGCTTTCATTGAGTGGTAGCTTTACTGTGGCTTCCTCCATGTCCACCCTACATCCCCACCCAGAGGCCAAAGCCTGGCCAGGCAGGCCGCAAAGGGAGGCTTGCGCAGGGCAGACTAGGGAGGGGTCACAGAGGCGAACCCTTGGCTAGGCACCCACTGCGCTGAGCGACTTAGGTACAGTAGCTCACTTGATCTTCTCTCAAGCTGACTTGAGATCAGATCATCACCTCCGTGTAGTGAGCAGAGCAGCTTGGGTTCACAGAGGTGAGGTCGCCTGCTGAAGTCTGACAGAGAAGTGGAGGATGTAGGATTCAGACCCGGGTCTTCTGACTCCCAGAGAGGAAGCACTCCTCCCTGCCCGCTGAGGCTGTGAGCACCTTTGGAGCAGCTCTTGGAGAGCTGGGAAGGTCAGAAGCAGAGGTCAGGGCCCTGGGCCAGGAGACCCGGTCTGTGCTTCCTTGTCCCCTAGGCCTGCCTGCCTCACGGGTGGAGGAGAAAGCGTGTCAACACCGAGAGGCCCCAAGCTGGATTGGCAGCAGTGGACCAAAACCCGTGGCAAACAGGAAAAGGTCAAAGACCACAGAGAGAAATGGCCAATACCTCGCGCAGTCCATCGCAGGGCGATGCTAGGCTTCAGGACTTGGCCCCCCACAGTGGCACGGGGCAAGCTCCCTCCCGTCTGGGGGAGTGAGGTTCTGCACTAGGGGACCCCATCTCCGGAGAGCTCATTAGATAGCATCTAGATGGGGAAACTGAGGCCCCGGGAGCACAGGTGTCTCGTCCAAGGTCACAAGGCGAGCTAAGGATAAATTTGAGACTAGAACCCAGATTTCCTGACTTTCTAATGTCCGCTGGCCTCGGCCGGGGTGGACACTCCTGCTCGCCTCCTGCCAGGGTCTCCGCCTTCAGGAGGACAGAGAGGAACGCGCCGGAGGCTTCCGCGCCCAGCGCATCCCTCCCCACTCCACCCCTCGGGATCCTTTAAGAGGCGGGGCTTGGCAGCCAGCTCCGCGGCCCGGGCAAAAGGCTGGGACTTTACTCCCGCGGCAGAGAACGAGCCCGTGCTCCATCAGCTGCCGCAACCGCCGCGCCCGGAGCCCCAACCACCATGAGCGGCAGAGTCGGCGATCTGAGCCCCAAGCAGAAGGAGGCACTGGCCAAGGTGAGCCGTCACCCTGGCTCGGCCCCCGGCCCCGGCCGGGGCCTCGCCCTCCCGCGGCAGCGAGCCGGGAAGGGGCCGGGCGCGGTGGGGGGAAGCGGGCGACGGTGCGGGGCCGGCGGGCGGAGGAGGGAGCTGCGGCCGGCGGCACCTGACGCCTCGAGCCCCTCGCCCCCGCGGCCCGTCCGGCCCTCCCTGGGCCGGCCGAGGAGGAGACCCGGGGGAAGTTTGGCTACCCCAGCCTCAGCCCTGAGCGAGCCCTTGGCGGGGCCACCTGGGAAGAAGTGGTTGCTTGGAAGCTCTCGGAGGCAGCCGAGGGCACAAAGACAATATTCATTAAGACTGGCAGCCGGGCCCTGGGGGCAGGGCTAGGGCCCCGGGTTTCCTCCCATTTCCGGGAGGTTTTCCTCTTGCAGGGGCACTGGCACCATGAACTGGGCCCTGACAGCTCCTTAGGGTACTTGGAGAGCCCCTGCTGGGGCACCAAGTCTCTCTGCGACCTTGGGCAAACCCATCCTTCTCAGTGTGCTTCTCGATGAAATGAAATGAGGGGTTGGATCCCACGATGTTGAAGGGAGCACCCTCGTGTGTGAAGCCTGGGATCCTATGAGTGACTCACTGGGTTGAGGTTAGTTTGAGCTCAGACCAGCAACTCCCCCCCCCCCCCATCCTGCAATCCAGAGCCCTCCCTGGCAGTTTGGGCAGATGCTCTTCAGAAGGCTAGGAGGTAAGCCTGGCTTTGCCTTGGCACCTGAGCAGAGGAGGTGGCAACAGTTTGGAGGCTGGACCCCCTGTCCACCATCTGAATCTACTCTTAGATCCTTAGCTGGCCTTGTGACCTTGGACGAGACACCTGTGCCCCCGGGGCCTCAGAGGGGAGGTTGGCTATACTCTGACCCAGAATTGATGGGGTATGGTCTCAAGGTTTGGAGGCTCCACAGCCAAGTAGTTCTCCATTGCTGGGGGGACAGATGTCTCCTGCCATGGCAGTGGAGCTGAGACGCCAACCCCATGAAGGCTTTGCCCCAGGCTGGGCCTCCCCCATCCCAAGGAGGCTGGATAGGGAGGTTTCAGGTTTTACTGCTGACCTGCAGGGGAAGTCAGGCAGAGGAGGGATTAGGTGGTGATTAAACTGGAAACCAGGGACTGGGTAGGGTCCTTGGTGAGGGGTGGCTTCATGCCTGGGCCCTGGAGGAGCAGTTTCCCTGGGAGTCTGGGAGCTGTTTGGGGGATGGGATGGGATGGTCTGAGTCCCCAGCTGACCTCGGCAAGGGGCAGAGGTGGCAGGTCCTCATTGGTCTCCTCTGTGGCTGCCCTGTAGGTCAGTGACTAGAGAAAGGTGAGGGACTGGGAGCAGGAGGCATGGGGAGAGCGTGTGGGGGTGAGCACACCCACAGGGTAGGGAGCAGTTGGAGGTGGACGTGGCCACCCCTTGGAGTCACCATCCATATCTCTTGTTTCGCACTCCCTGCACTTTCCCCCTTCGTGGCTTCCTGTTGGAACTGTTCCCTCCACCTGGTTTGCCCTCCTCCCTCCTCCTGCTACCTTTGAAGTCCTTCAAGCCCAACACAAATATGTTTTTTTGAAGTCGTATGAGACCACCGTCTTCCTGGGCCTGTCACAATCAAACCCTTCCTTCCCTCTGCTCCCTCAGCGCATTGCTCACCAGTCCATTACTAAGGGGCCGAAGACTCCAGTGGAAAGTGTGCCTGCTCTGGCCTCCGACAGACGGGGGTTTGCATCCCAGCCCTACTGATTACTAGCTCTTCAACCTTGGGCATGTTACTTAGTCTCTCTGAGCTCTAATTTCTTCATCTGTAAAATGTGGACAGTAATACCTCTAGGGACTCTTGAGTGAGGCATGAATAAGATAAGTGCCAAGTTCAGTGCTGGGCACACAGGGAATGCTTGGCGAACGGGCAGGTTTGACTGTGGCCCGCTCCCCGAGTGTCCACTATCACAGTTAGCTGGGATCGCCTATGGCCGCCCGCCACACTGGAAGTGTGCAAGTGCGCACAGCCAGACAGGGGTCATGTGTTACTCCCTTCCTGCCTCCTCCTTGCTGTCCACTGAGGCAACAGAGTGCACTATGCAGCCCACATGCTCAGCCAGTGTCTGCAGAGTTGACCCATGTTGAAGAGGAGTCAGCAGAGTCCCTGTGGAGAGCCCCAGGCAGAGGGTGGTCAGGGGGGGACCTGCCACTCACCCTCCTACCTCTCCCTACAGTTTCGGGAGAATGTCCAGGATGTGCTGCCCACCCTGCCGAATCCAGATGACTATTTTCTCCTGCGCTGGCTCCGAGGTGAGGGAAGAGGGGCTGCGGGAGGCTGGGGCAGGGGCTGGTTCTGGGTTGCAGAATGGCACCCTCTGGAAACCCTGCCCCTGGCAATCTGAGAATCTGGAGAATTCAACCTTTAGAACCAAAAGGGCCCTGGGCAATTACATAGCCTTGACCCTCCTATTGGGTGGAATAACAACACTGGGGCTTAGAGAGGTGAAGTAACTTGTTCCAGGTCACACAGCGCCTGAACCACAGGCAGAGAGAAGACTGGAGCTGGTAGGCTGACTTCCAGCCCGGTGCACTTTCTCTCCATTCGATAAATCCACTCTGCTGATGGGCTTGGGGAAGTGGGTTGAGGAAAAGCCCAGGAAGACCCAGCCACATGGGAAGTCAGCGCAGAGCGAAGTTTAGAACCAGAGTGCAGGCCCCTGGGAGAGGCTGGCCCCCTCTGTGGCCTTTTGGGGTGACAGACCAGCAGTTTAGGCAGCTTGCAGGAGGGGCAGAGGGCATGGGGGGAAAACGTGGGGGGCACTCAGCCTGGCCTCAGTTGACAAGACTGCCCTCAAGCCACCACCCGGCTCGAGAGCCCCATGTTTTAGTTCCAGCTTGCCTTGGCCTGGCTGTGGCATGTGGACCAGGGGCGCACATCTGCTTTAGGCTCCCCTCCGGTAGAACAGGACCAGACAGGGTGCCCTGCTTATTGCAAGATGTAACATGATAGAACTCTGCAGGCACTAATGAAGGGTACGGCTTTCCACTAGCATCAGAGTCCAACTCAACCCCTGCCCCGACTCCTGAAATCTCTCCTTTCTTTTTTCTCTTCTCCTCTCCTGTGGTTAAAGTCATGTGCCACCCTCTCTGGTTCCTGTGACACACTTTTTTTTTTTCTTTATAGAAACTTTATTACCAGACACTGAAATAATAGAGAAAATTCCACTGCATTAGGTTAACAGAGATTCAGTTGTGTTGTAGAATCATAGCCCAACGTATTAAAATACGTATCATGTCCAGTTATTTATAGACACAGACACACACGTACATCCCCTAGGGGTCTTGGGACAGGTGAAGGGATGTATTTTTCTTTTCTGCCCAGAAATGGAGCTGGCACACTCTGAGGGACTGCTAGTAGGCACCCCAGGGCAGGTGCAGCTGGGAAAGCCATGTGGGGCCCTGTGTGCCTCTGGAGGTGTCACTTGCCCCTTTCCCCCCCAAATGTTGTGACACTCCCTCCCCCCACCAGCCCACTCAGATTGGGTGGAGAGGCAGTACGGGGGCGCAGTGGAGTCAGTCCAGGGCTGGAGGATATTTTGGTCCAGCATTTGCTGAAGGGCTGTAGCTAGAAGCGGGTGTGTAGGCAGTGTGGGATGGCTGTGCTGCCTTAAAGAGCCAGCTGCAAGATGATCAAACACACCACCAAGCTGCTGGTAGGTAGAGACCTGTGGTTTCAGAGAGCCGAACAATAACACAGCTCTTTTATCTGAAAGGAGGCTGCTCGGGCTCCTGGCAGTTGGTTTCCCAGACATTCCCAACACCCCAGTCCTGGGATAACCCCTCTCTTTGCAAGAATTTCAAAGCATTATCATCATCCTCATTTGCCAGACGAAACCACGGAGGCTCAGAGGCGGAGGCTCAGAGAGGGGCGGGCACGTACCTGAGGGCACACAGCTAATGAGAAGCCGAATCAGGGCGGAAACCTAGGGCCTCTGACTCCCAGGCCAGCATTCTCTCCAGTAAGCCACAGCTGCCCCCCCACCCCACCCCAGCCAAGCTCGGCCTCTTCAGACAGAGGAAGTGTCTCCTCAGTACTTAACTTGTGCCTCACATTTCCTGGGCAGGAGCTCAGGCCTGGTCAGACTCTACTGTGAATTTCAATTAGGGTTTTTGTTGCCTTTTTTTCTTTTTCTTTTTTTTTTTTAAGGAAACCTTTTCCCTCTCTACCTTTAATTCTAAAGTAAACATTTTCAAAGTGCATGCTAGCAAAATGTCTTTAACCTAGGTGTGAGCTTAGGCTCACACTCTTGGCCGCTTCCCCTCACGTGGATTCAGTTTTCTGCTGCCCCCGACCCCCAGCCCTGAGAGCAGGCACAAAAATCTCTACTGCTTCCCCCTGACTGGGGCTGAGCTCTGGGCTTCCCAGCAAGGAGCATCTGAGCCACCAAAACAAGGAGGCGGTAGAAGAGCTGTGTGCGTGTCGGGCAAAGCAGGTTGAAGTCTCCTCCAGGACTCGGAAGTGATCAAATCAGAACCCAGGACAGCTGCTCCTTGGTCATCTTCTCTGGCAGTGCCCTAAGCCAAGCTTCGATCTGCCCCTGACCAGGGCATAGGAGCCCTGGAGAGGCCTGACTCAGCAGGCATGGGGAGGCACCAGGCCGGGTACTGCCAGGGCCAAGTGGCCACTTGGGGAGGGCCCTCAAAGAAGACCCTGGGTGTTGGACCCTGGCAGATACGGGTGAACTGGAGAGCCGTTCGGAGAAAAGGGGGCTCACGCTTCACCACCACTCCTGTTCCTATGGAGCATGCCCACTTTCACAGACCAACTGGGCTCCCCCATTGTGAGAGTATGTTGCTTTGCATCTTTCATGCGTCTCTAGATCATTAGGTGATTCATTCGGAGATGTGCAGTATCTCGTCCAAGGTCAGAGTGGGAGAAAGAGAAAGGGCTGAGATGCAAACCCAGATTATATTCCTCTAAAAGCTGCCCCTTGCTGCCATGATGGTGCGTGAAAGGTCTCCATCGGAAGAAACTTCCTAAGAGTAAAGGCCGTTCGTTTCTACGAATGTGTGTCCAGCACCAATGACGGGCATGGCATTGGTCAAATCTCTTGATGCACCCTTTGGGTGCAGGACAGTGGAGTGGATTTCGTGATAGCAGAGTCAGGGAATGTGCTTGGCCACTCCCAGAGATCAGTGATTAAGGGACCGGTGACAGTCCAGAGGGCAGCCTGTCTGGCACAGGTCCCAGGGTCGTCAGCAGATCTCGATGTCAATCAGATCCACAGAGGACATACGGCTGGGAGGGACAGTTCATAGGTCAGTTGGCAAAATTGGTCAGAGTCTGGATCTCAGAAACTCTTTAAAGGATGAAATGGAGCGAGCTGACTGTAACAAGATGAAATCTGATAGGGATGGATCCAGAAAACCACCTCACAACATATAGGAAGGAGGCTTAGCAGCGGCACAGCTGAAAAGGATTTGGGAGGTTCAGTTGACTGTAAGCTCCATCTGAGTTAAGGGTATGACTGTGGCCAAGAAAGTTCTTAGGCTTTATCGGAGAAGGGTAGGCAACACCTGGTGCCGTGCTCGGTTCTGGAGGGTGCACTTTTTAAGTAGGGCACTTGCAGACTGGAAAACATCCAAAGGGAAGTTCTGTGGATGGACTTGAAACCAGGCCATGAGGAATGGTCAGAGGAAGGATCCATGGATGGGCAACATTACAGCCGAGGGGACGCAGGTGGCAGCACGGAATTCACCCGTATTACAAAGTTTGTCACATGGCTGAGGAAGGGACCGTACTCTCTGAGTGTCTTGGCAGTGGATCTCTGCTCAGCGTAACAATGAGTGCTGAGTGCAAATGACTGCTCGGATTACCTGGAAGCAGGTGGGTTTTGGGGGGCAGTGAGGTCTTTGTGTTCAAGCTTGAGCAGGATGACTTGGGGTTGGAGCATGAAATGAAGACGTGGCCCAGGTGGACTTTAATTCTGAAGCTTTCCAGGAACCCCAGGAGGAGGTCCCTCTGTGTCCCATTAGGGTATGCGTGGGTCCTTTGAAAATATGGCAAGGTTGACTGGAGGCTCATCAACCCCTCTATCCTACTGGGATGGCCTGCCAGATCCACCCCAGATGACAGGGCAGCTGTGTTCATCGTTGAACTGTAGGTCAAGTTCTCAGAACCGGATGTTAGACCGTGAAGGAGACTAACTTTGTGTAAAGGGGGAAGGCTGAATGATAAGGGGGTCCAGGGTTCACTTTCCCTGAGAGGAGATAAGATCTTTCACCTCTTGCATCCACTAGGGTAAAATTCTTTTGACCGCGATATTACAAGGCTGCACCCACCTGCCCTGGTCCTTGACCTGCTCTTCAGGGGCTATGGTGTTCCAGAAGCCCCCAGAGAAAGTCCTCCTATTAAGCTTCTGCATGTGGGGTGATCTGGGAGTCAGCTGGGGTGAAGATGGAGAAGAACCAGCCCCAGCATGAGAATAGAGAAATCTCCCTGTCCTTGGACGCCCAGCCCGCTGGTCTAACCCTGACCACATTTCCCTATTACAGCAAGAAACTTCGACCTGCAGAAGTCTGAGGCCATGCTCCGGAAGGTGAGCTCCATTTGGCTCCATATCCCACTGTTGCCTCAGTTCCCACCCATCAGAATCACACTGGGCTTGGATTTGCTTTGCCCACCCTGCCCACCCAATCACAGCCTCTGGCTCATGTGGCGTATCTGAGTATTAGCTGGCCACTGTTGTTGCCTTATCCCTTTGGGACAAAGTGCATTCCCTTCCCTGGAAAGACAGAGTTTTCTTACTCCTGGGCCAACTAAGAATTACAATCCGTTCTGCCCAGATCTCTAAAACAGGCAGTGCCTCTTTTCCAATCCTGCCGCTTGCCTTCTCATGATGTACCTGGGACACGGTGTCATCTATTGCTAGATGCCTATAAGGGGTTCCACTACCCCCACATTTTTTTAAAAGCCTTAACTATGTTTTCAGCACGTGGAGTTCCGAAAGCAAAAGGACATCGACAACATCACAAGCTGGCAGCCTCCAGAGGTGAGGACAAATGATCTTGCCCCACCCCTGTGTTAGTTAGGTCTGTTGCACCCACAGTCTGTGTCCTGAGTCTGTCAGACTGGGACCCTCAAGAGGAAAGGTCTGATGATGCCAGGTGAGCTCTAATGGTTCCCAGAGTGGGTATCCATTGGCACCCAGGGGGAAAGGGTGTAGAGGGAGAGCCTGATGAACCCATACGAAGGCCCCGGGATACAGGGAAGGCTTGGCCACCCCCGGGCCTGCTGACCAGGTGCCCCCTCTGTGTCTTTGCCCAGGTGGTCCGGCAGTATCTGTCAGGGGGCATGTGTGGCTATGACCTGGACGGCTGCCCCATCTGGTACGATGTCATTGGACCTCTGGATGCCAAGGGACTGCTCCTCTCAGCCACCAAACAGGACTTGCTCAAGACCAAGATGCGGGACTGCGAGCGGCTACTGCAGGAGTGTGCCCGCCAGACTGAAAAGGCGAGCGGGCTTAGCATGGTTGAGAATGAGTTCACCACCGTGGAGGTGTTCCAGCAGAAGCAGGTGTATCACACAGGGATTTAAGCACAGCTTCAGGACTGAGGCCCAGGCGTTTGGATTTCACAGACGAGTGAAATTTCCAAGTTTTAGGGACTGACCCATGTTGCCAGATTTTTATTTTTCTCCAAGTAAGGACTTAAAAAGAAAATTTACTGGCTACTATTGCCGTAATTAACTCCCAAAACTATAGGAATGGCGTAGTCTCGGAATAAAGGGCAGTCCTTTAAATCGAAGAAATTTAGTTTCGTAAGTAACATACTACAGTATCATTGCTTTTCTCGTTCATCTGGGCACTGGTAAGATCTTTGTCATGGACCAGCCTCTCCTTGAGCAAGTATTTGGGTACCACTGGTGTAGATGAGCTGAGAGTCTGTGCTTCGCTAGCTCTGTATTCAAAAAAAAAAAGAGAAGGACATGTGATTCCCTCTCTGAGAAAAAGGCTAAGGAGTGTGCTGGAGCCACCCTGATCTTCTCTCCTGCCTTCCTCTTTAGCCTGTGTAAGGATCCAGCAAAATGATGTCATAAATTTGGGGGCATTTCAACACTGTCATTCACGAACATGCACTGAGGGCCTAGTACGTGCAGAGACCCTACAGGCCGTGGAGGCAGAGAAGCATTAGATGGGCACCCTTCAGGGCTTGGGGTGGACAGGGAGGCTCTGGGCCTGTGTACCAGATCAGTGGCCCCAGGAGGCCCCACGGATGGAATGCTACCAGGCACTGCGCACAGAGGAAGAGGGAGGCCACCTGGTCAGACTGCAGAACAGAAGGGACCTCAGATATAATCTAGATCTACCCAGTTGTTTACTGGATGAGAACAGGGACACCTAGGCAGGAAGAGTGACTAGCCTAGGCCAGAATTCTGGCCTGGGATGCTTATCTCAATTTGGAAAACCCTAGATATGGCCCTGCCCAGACCTGGTCACCATATGGGCACATGAACACATCAGCTTCTTGCCCTGGACTGGGGTAGGCTTCTGCGGTGTGGCAGCCTACTGTGACTTTCTGCTCCTCTGTCCCCTGCAGGTGGGGAAGAAGGTGGAGACCGTCACCCTGATTTATGACTGCGAGGGGCTTGGTCTCAAGCATCTCTGGAAGCCTGCGGTGGAGGCCTATGGGGAGGTGAGGGGCAGGGCTGGGAGGGGAGTGGGAGAGGAGAGAAATGGGAGTGGACCCCTCTGCTAGGAGGCCCCGTGGGTGAGGCAATGGGGGCCGAGTCTGGCCTGGAGGAGGCAGGGCCTGCCTCCCTGGTACAGAGGTCTGAGCCCACTGAACTCAGTAATTTTGTTTCCACAGTTTCTCTGCATGTTCGAGGAAAACTACCCTGAAACGCTGAAGCGTCTTTTCATTGTTAAAGGTAAGTTGGGAACTGTCTGCAATGAAGTCAGATGGGAAAGAGGGGCCAACAATGTTCCTGGGATAGATTCGGGGGAGTAGAACGGGGTGAGCCAGAGGAGGGGATCCAAGGACCTCTGATATAGGCAGACCGATTTGCAATTTACAAACCTTTTAGGATTTATTGCCTCCTTGGAACCACTCGGACCGGTGACGTAGGAAGGCTAGACTCGCTCGCTGTCCAGACAGGGAAGCTGGAAGTTAGACAGGTGCCCATGTCAAGCTTCACACCCTGGGCTGCCTGTGTGGGCTCCACAGCACTGGGGAACCTGTGACCTGACACGGGGCTGTGGAGGACACTGTCAGGGACATAGTGGGCCTTGCTCCCGGTCTCACATCGCCTGGTCTCTGTTCCAGCCCCCAAGCTGTTTCCTGTGGCCTATAACCTCATCAAACCCTTCCTGAGTGAGGACACGCGCAAGAAGATCATGGTCCTGGGGGGTGAGTAGCCCAGACTCTTCTCAGCACCACCGGTTGGTCTGTGGCCCAAATTGGGGCTAGCTTTAGAAGTGTCTAGGGCGAAGGCTTCCTCTGCTGGTAGCAGTGGGATCCTGGAGCAAGTGGGGGCCGGGCTAGGGTCTTCCTCTCTGTTTTCACAAGGACTCTTCCTCTCAGACACTCTAGAAGAAAGTACTGAGCTCAGCTCTGTAGATGCAAAGATGAATGAAACACCAGTCTTGTCTTCAGGGAGCTGACAGTGTAACAGGAGAGGGGCCTTTAGAGAGAAAGCGACGGATACAGGCTAGAAAAGTTACGGGAAATGGCGGAGGCAAAGCACCACGGAGGCCACAGGAGCGGAGAGGTTGCTTCTAGTTAGGAGCAACTAGGAGGGGCTTCCTTTGATGCACACCTACCGTGGGCCAACCCTGGACTTGGTGACAAAGATGCATCAGACAGAGTCCCCTGAGGAGCTCCTGGCCCTCTTGGGGCAGGGGAGCTGCAAACAGATGTGTAGCAGCACCATATGTTAAATGTAAAAGAAGGAAATCAAGAAGTGGGTGGGAACACGGAGCGGGGGCACTCAGCCCTCCCGACCCAGGCAGGAGCGGATGCCGACCTCAGCCAAGTGCTGTGGCATGAGTAAGAGGCAGCCAGATGAAGCCAGGCAGGAAGCCGCTGGGTGGAAAGAATAGCACTGAGCGAAGGCCTCACACACCGCGGCTCAGGCAGTTGGAGAGAGCACGGCAGGGCCAGGGTGTGGCAAGAGGTGAGGTGCAGCTGGAGACGCAGCTGGGAGCCAGGGCACGGAGAATCCAGGGCACTGTGCTGAGAAGCTGGGACACAGCTCCATGGGCTGTTGGGAACCAGAGAAGAGTTCTGAGCCGGGGGAGGACCCGGCTCAGACTTTAAACGGAGAAACATTTGACTGGCAAGCTTGCGAAGGACAGGTACCAGTTTGTACACCGTGGCCACAGTCCCTATGCAAGAGCTGTTGCAAGCCTGAGCCGGGGCCATGGCGGTAGAGATAGAGAGGAAAGGAGGAATTTGGGACTTACTTAGGAAGTAGAACAGCAGAACGCCATCCACTGGGCGTAGGAAGGGAGGAAGAGAAATCTAGAATGACTTTCTGGTGTCTAGCATGAGTAACGGAGTATTGCAATGACTCTGGTGCGATTGGTTCAGCTGGGGGACATAACCTTGACGTTGAGTTTGGGGAGTCTGTGAGATATACAGATGTTGAGGGTACATGAGCCTGAAGCTGAGGATTGGACTCCGGTTTGGAAATTTGGAAATTCTCAATTATAGGCAGCAGCTAAGATCTTGAGAGTAAACACTGCCCATGGAAGAGCAGAGGCCAAACCCTGGGGACTATCTGAGTTCAAGGGCAGGCGGATCAAGAGGTGTTGATGAGCTTGGCAGGGCCACACTCGACAGGGATTGGATATGCAGGGGAGCTGGGAGGACATCAAGGCACAAGAAGCAGCCAGCAAGGAAGATGCTCAGGAATCAAGCCAACCAGGGACAGAGAGGAGCTGAGTTTTGCCGGAGCATTAAGTGGAGTCGGTGGGAAGAAAAGGCCAGAAAGGTAGACTGGGACCACCTCATGTCAGGCCTGGTGCTGCCTATGGAGTTGAGCTTGGGGGTAGGTAATAGGGATTCTGAAGGTTTCTGAATGTTCACCATTAGGCGACACATGGAAAGTGGAGATCTTCCCGATGTGCACTGGTGAGCCCTGGGAGTGGCGTGAAGCATTCTGGAAAGTTCAGAACTTCTGGGTTCTGGTCCTGACTCTGGCAGCAACAAGTTTGGCTTCCTGTTGCCTCAGTTACTCTCTCTGTAAGATGGGAAGGGCCCCTCTGGCCTTGTTCCAACCCTCCAGCTGAGCTGGGGGAAGAAATACAAAATCTGAGCAAAAGGCTCTGATGATTTTTGGCTTTGCGGCTGCTACCGCCCACCGTGAGCATGAGCCGGTTGGGTTTCCTGGCAGCAGAACTACGGAGGAGGTGCAGGCTGTTCTCCCCGCCCACACCTGCAACCCTTTCAACCAAACCCGCCTCGGGCTCAGAAGCTACTGGGTCTCCAACAGAGGAGGCAAGACGTTCACTCTGGCTGGTCAGGGGAGCTTAGGAAGCACAGATTATATCCCCGCCCAAGAGCACAGATGCTGTGTTCCAGGAGTTGTATGGTCTCAGGACCCTAGAAATCGGAGGGCTGGGAGACCCTGGACAGCCCCTGTGGGCTTCCAGCCAGCCTCAGCAGCAGAGGACCCCGGGTCGTACCCCATGACTTGGAGCTGCTGCCTATTTTCAGCTATAGAGTCGGCATGGCAAGGTTTCCAGTATCAAAATATTGTGCTTGGCCGATACGAGTTTAGGAATTCGGAGTGGTGACGTGGTTCTCAGCATTGGTTGCACTAGAGTCAAACTCTCCTAGTCAGGAAAGGGCTTGGTTGTTTAAAAAAGAAAAAAAAAAGAGCCGAGTCACCAGCAGCTAGACAGCCTGAAAAACAGAGCAGAAGTGAAGTCGTGGCTGGGGCAAAGCCAAGGGAGCCCCGTTTAAGGGGCTACTCGACTGTGGTGCAGTCGGTAAGTCACGATTGAGCACAATTACGTGTAGGTGAAAGCAGGGGATGAGACACGTGGTTGGACCCTCCTGGAATTCAGTTGAACCAGGACAGATCATGTTGACTCAGGCCCTCCTGCTTGCCTCACATGCTGTTCCCTCCGCGTGGGATGCCCTTCCCTCTTTTCTCTGTTCCCTCTGATTGCACACCAGATATTTGTACCACCTGCCTGGGAATGATCATATACTCTCATACGTGTATGGAGTTAACAGTTTACAGCACCCTTTCAAGCAGTTAGGTCACCTCACTCCCACCGGAGCCATGTGGGGCAGGAGGAACCAGGCTCAGAATAAAGTGACTTGACTTAAGGTTGCTCAACTGGCCAGAGGCAATGGACACAGGACTCTAGGTGTTCTGATTCTTAGTCCAGCGAAAGGGCAGTCCTCTGGGTGATGCTTCCTCCTGAACCCCCTGCCGAGCTGCGTGCACATCATGTGCTCCTAGTGTCTGCTTTTTCTGGGCTGTGGAGCAGATGGGTTTTTCCCGCCCCTTTTGTGTTGACCACCAGGGCTGTGAAGCAATCCTGCCTAGTGGTGATCCTTTTTTTTTCTCCTTCCTTCCCTCTGCTGCCAGCAAACTGGAAGGAGGTTTTACTGAAATATATCAGCCCTGACCAGCTGCCTGTGGAGTATGGGGGCACCATGACTGATCCTGATGGAAACCCCAAGTGCAAATCCAAGGTATGGGCTGCGTAGTCCCCTGCAGGGCCTGGAGGGGCAAGGGATTGCACCAGGGAAGCCTGGCTCAAATGCACATTCCAGTTCACTCTGTGCTTTGCTTCCAGATCAACTATGGGGGTGACATTCCCAAGAAGTATTATGTGCGAGATCAGGTGAAACAGCAGTATGAGCACAGTGTGCAGATTTCTCGAGGATCCTCCCACCAAGTGGAGTATGAGATCCTCTTCCCTGGCTGTGTCCTCAGGTAGTGTTCTGGACCCTGAGAGGCCACCTGTGCCTTTCAGCCATAGGTGCCAGTGGTCGGGCTGGGGTGGGAGAAGCCCTGGTGGCAGGACCCCCAGAGAGTGCACACACAGACACTATCAGGTCTGAACGGGCGGATGTCCCCTGCAGGTGGCAGTTCATGTCAGATGGTTCCGACATCGGTTTTGGGATTTTCCTGAAGACCAAGATGGGGGAGCGGCAGCGGGCAGGCGAGATGACAGAGGTGCTTTCCAACCAGAGGTACAATGCCCACCTGGTCCCTGAGGATGGGACCCTCACCTGCACTGATCCTGGCATCTGTAAGTACCTCTGTCCTGGCTTAAAGCCCCTGCCCTAGCTGTCTGCCTGTGAGGTCCCTCTTTCTCAGACTATGAGAATTAGACGTGGGCCTCCATGTGTTCAACCCTCTCCTTATACAGATGAGGGAACGAACCTAGGCTTGGAGAGGTGAAATGACCAGGGGGCCCAGCTGGTTAGCACCAGGGCGGGACTCTGACCTGATACTTCCAGGTCGAGGTGAGTCATGGTGCTAGGTGATCACAAGGGTTCAGAACACCTGCTCTCGGTCCAAGTTTAACTGGATCTGTGACTATGACCAGACATTTCTGGGGAATGCTCCTTCCCCAGATGTCAGAGAGGCAGAACTGCCTGGGTGGGTGCAGGGATCCCAGGGTAGGCAGAATGCTGAAAAGCCCAGTCCTGACCCCTCTGAGCTTCACTTATCTCCACTTTGATCAAAAATCAAGTACAGGACATGAACAGGAAGTTTAGCCGGGAGGAATAAGAATGGCAAACAGGCATTTGGAAGTGTTTTACATCCCTCAACTTCACGGTTTTGATTAAAATTCCCTTTCAGCAATTCTACTTCTGGAAATTTATCCTACAGAAATGTTTACACAAAGACAGAAAGATAGAGGTACAAGGATGTTCCTAGCAGCCTGGGCAACTGGCGATAAACCAAATGGCCTTAAAAACGTCTTGTTAAAGAATTACGTAAATGAATTATGGTCCATGTGTACATGGAATACATTATACCCATTCGAGAGAAAAATTGACATGTAAAGTGTCTAATACATGTTGAAAAAAACAAAGAATGAAACATAGCATATGGTATACTGTCTGTTTTTTGTTTTTTGTTTTTGTAAAGGATATACGTTGAAAAGAATTCTGAGGAATGTATGCTAACTGTGATGGTGATTATCTCTGGGATGGTAGGAAGCTTCTAGAGGGTTTTATTTTTTTACACTAGTTCTGCAACTAGGTTATTTTACAATGACCATGTACTACATTTGTAAGCAGAAAAACCAAATACACACACACAAAAAGCCCTTCAAATCTCCAGTTTCCTTTCTATCAGAGCCAATGTGCCAGACGTGGAAAATCAATGAGAGCAAGGGCTTTATCATCGAGCTGACTTGGATTTGCCTACTGACTAGTCCTTAGGCGAGTGACTTAGCCTCCCTGTGCTTCAGTTTCCTGATTGCTACAATGGGGATCAAATTCTCTACCTCATGGGGATACATGATGATTAAATGGGCAGCACTTAGCTTAATGCCTGGTGTACAACAAGCACTCAACACACTGTAGACACCATTATCATTAGGGCAAGATCTGTGTGGGGAGAAGGACCATCCTGGAGATGGTGCTGGAGATGGGAGAAGCCCTGTGCCCCATTTCTAGGGCAGCATCACCAAGAGATATCGGAGCTAGCCCCCAGATGTCTTACACCATCACCCCAACCTCCAATGCTGTGTACTTCCCCACCTGCCAGGCAACCTTCGGCCTCGACTGCCCCTTCCTCATAGATGCTCTGTGATATTGCTTGCTGGGGGGGAGTATTCTTGTTAGTGAGCAAGCAGCCAGGTCCTTGGAGGAGAAGGCATATTAATGTAAGCTTCAGTAAGAACAAGGCCTAGCACACCAGCCCGGATACTATTATCCACAGAGCATATTCTGTATAGAAGCTTGAATTTTTTTTGAAGATTTTATTTATTTATTTGGGGGGGGGAGCAAGAGCACAAGCAGGGGTTGGTGGTGGGGAGAAGTAGAGGGAGAGGGACAAGGAAATTCCCCGCCGAGCTGGGAGCCTGACATGGGGCTCAATCCCAGGATCCCAGGATCATGACCTGAGCTGAAGGCAGATGCTTAATTGACTGAGCCACCCAGGCGCCCCTAAGCTTGGTTTTTTGTTTTTGTTTTTTAATGGACAGGGAAGCTGAGGTATAGAGAAGGGATGGTATCTTTCCCACAAAGTAGGTTGTGTACACCCCAAAAGACTGAAGACGTGAGGGAATCCTAGAGTCCTGGTCCAGATCTCTAGGCCATCACCTATCCTAGAGATGAGCAGGTCTGTCCCCGATGTGACAGAGGCGAGAGTGGAGTCCCAGACCAGGGAAGTAATTTATCTGAGGTCATGTAGCCAGCAGCAGCGCCCAATCCCATTTTCCAGCATCGCACATCTACAGTATCTGAAGGATGCAGCCTGAGAAAGGACTGGGAACCTTACAACATAACCAGAGTTAGGTTTGCAAACCCCAGATTTATTTTTGCCCTTCTTGGTTACATTCCCAGATGGACCATTTATCTGCCTGCGGGACTTTGACTTGGAGTTGCTTCTTGTCCATTCCAAGGAGGATTAGAGGCAGGTCACAGCACCCACATCCCCTTCCCAGGTGTAAAAACAATGAGGTGGGATCAGCTGTTGCCTGGAGCCATGGCTCAGGTTAGACCTGAGTCCAGAGAGAAGCCAGTGTTAGGTTACAAGCTCACCTGTGGGAGGGCAGTGCCCTTGAAGAACCAGGCGACTCCCTGCAAAGTGGAACATAATCACCCAGTGGTGAAATTAAAACTCCGTGCCAGCCTCCAATGGCAAGAGCACATGAATCCTCCCCAGGCCATTCTGGTGCTTGCCCAAGTGTACTTAAGTAGGGAGAAGGAGAAACAAAGTCTGAATTGGTTTCACTTATTTTCTCTAGACTAATATTTCTGGAGGGCCTGAGTGTAGAATACTCTATTAGAAAAGAAGAAGATTCAGCAGAAAAGATCCGGATACTGCCAGGCAGTGCTGGGGAGCCCAGCCAGGCTCCAGGAGGCCTGGTTTCTGAGTCCAGCTGTACCACCAACGCTCCCAAGTGTTTTGAGCAAGTGTCTCTAAATAACTACTTTTGATTTCCTTCTCCTTAAAATGAGGAGAATGGGCTACAGCAGGAGGTCTTTTTATTTACGTAATTATTTAAGTAGGCTCCATGCACAATGTGGGGTTTGAACTCACAACCCTGAGATTAAGAGTCACACGCTCTACCGACTGAGCCAACCAGGCACTTCTTGAGGAGGGCTTAATCTGGGGTTTGTGGACTCCCCAGAGCAGTGACTAAATCTTAAAGACCAAACACCTCTCTTTTATAACATACAGTGTCTAATATCCCCTTTACAATTCTGAAATGAAATTCATGGGTAATATAACCCACCTAAACACATAATTTAAAAAGCACTATAATCTCCCATCAGGAGAAATAGAAGGAAGCTAATTTAGAATATGTATTTGTTTCCATATATAAATGAGAGGGGACGATCACACCCATGTGCCGCCAAGGGTCCATGATGGGCTCCAGAGGATCTGAAGTTGTGTGCGTTCATCAGATTCTCAAGGGAGTCAGTTCCCCAACAAAAGTGGAGGATCCCTAGCCTGGAGGATCTCTGAGGGGGTTCTACGGGTCTATCAGTACATGATTAGTGTCAAAATGAACCATGCAATTCATTAACTCCACTTCCTTTGGGCCCAGACCTCTGAACAGCCCCTTCCTTGTTTCTGAGGGCAGAATATGCAAAGCAGAGCATCTCGTGGTGCTTGATCCAAGGAGCTCAGACCTCTCCTCCAGCATGACTGATTCTGGTTGCTGGGGCTCTGTCATCCAGGGCAGTGAGGAAATGTCCCTCTTTTCAGAGGGACTATTGGTTCTGAAAGACCTCTGGTGCAGAGAAAATCGATAGTACTTCCCACCATGAAGAAAGTGTGAGTGGTGTTTCTACCCAATGTCTAAACTATGCATTTTATCTAGGGGCAGGAAAGGGAGAGGTGAAATTTCAGGAATAAATACACTGGTTTGTTTTTTTGTGTTTTTTTTTGGCTTGTTTTATTTATTTATTTTTTTTTCTCCCTGGGAAAAGTGAGAGAAGACCAGGATAGGGAAAGGGCAGAGCCAGTGTTTTTGTTCTCACACTCTGTTCTCTTGAAGGGCTGTTCGACTGAAAGGGAACAACTTCTCAAAAAGAAAGGGGTTAGATTAAAAGCAGTCTGTTCCTTGGCCAAGGCTTCAAAGCCTTCTCTGCCAACCCATGCCCATTTTGAGTTTTCCTAATCTTTTATGATTACGAACGGGTGCAGTGTGCATCTTTGTCCATTTATCTTTCTGTGGGATACATTCCTGTTTGAACAACTCTGTATATTTTACCTTCGCCAGAAACTGAACGGGGCTTATCTTCCCAGGGCCCAAGTCAGGCAGCAATGCAGGTCAGAGGGAAATTCCAGCTCCATCACTTCCTCACCGTGTGACACAGTGACCTCCTTTTTATACGCTATAAAGCAGGACTAATGCTGAACTCATAGAGTTATTTTGAGCAATAATATAATATATAGAGAGATTACCAACCCAGGGCTGAGACACCTAGGCAGCCATTGTTACCATTACTATTACTACTGTGACAACTGCTCCTACTGATTCTGCTCCGCCAGTTCAAGCTCTAACTCCTCTGAAAAGCCTTTTACATGATGTCAGTCTATGTCAGGACCCTTTCCTTGCAAGCTGTGACAGATGTGGTTGTCTCACTCATCAGGCACTCAGCATGTTCTGTCTTATATTTCTTTCTCTCTGTGAATATTTTGTCGGCCCAGATTGACTTAAGTTTCAGAAGGTGAGGGACCACTCCTTAAGTCACCTTTGTCCTCATTACATACCACATTGCCTTGTTCAGACAACAAAAATCGCTGTCCTTTGTTAGAATTGCCTGAATGTCTCGTTTTCTGCCTCCCCTCAGATGTCCTGCGGTTCGACAACACCTACAGCTTCATTCATGCCAAGAAGGTCAGTTTCACTGTGGAGGTCCTGCTTCCAGACAAAGCCTCAGAAGAGAAGATGAAACAGCTGGGGGCAGTCACCCCAAAGTAATGCCTCTTCCCACAGCAGGTGTGGCTCCCGCAGTGTCTCCCTGTCAGTTTCTGTCCCCTGTAACAGTCATTTTCCCAGTACCCAGATGCCCAAAAAAGCCGGGCTACAAGAAAGACCTTGGGCTGGATTTGGGGAGCTTTCATTTCAGAATTAGGAAGAGGGGGAGCAGCAGGAGAGGGTCTCCTTGCCTCTCAAATTACTCAGGAGTCCCCAGGGGCTGGGCACCATGATAGGATCTACCATCCTATAAGCTGTGCCAACTTCACCTGTCCAGTGAGAGCTGAGACAGGAAGGGATGGGGTGGGGAAGATGCGGGTGGCAGCAGGGCAGAAATTAGAAAAGTGGGGAGAGATGGAGACCTAACACTTCAGGGAACCCAGCTGTAGGGAACTTGCTCCCAAATGAAAATGTTAAGTCTAGATCATTATGAGGAGTAGCAAGGTAGCAGGTTGCTAGAGTTATGGTGGGGGTCAAAGTCTCTTCTAGACTTTCTGTCTCCAAGGCTGGGACCTTTTGGCTTTTCCCACCAGGTTTCAGGGATGGCCTGAGTCAGTATAGCTCTTCCCACTCAGGGGTAGACAGGGAGGCCACCTCAAGACTTCCACAACTCTTGGGACCCACTGGCTGTCTCTTTAATTACTGATTATCAGTGACTCAGAGCTTCTCAGGACAGAGATTTGGTACCCAGCCACTGTCCTCCAACGCAAACAAAGCACAGGGAAATTACCTTCAGGGATCCCAGCTCCAGGATGGACCCTTAGGGGTGAGAGTGAATCCTGAGGCTTCCAACCCCCCCTCCCCTTTTCAGTGCTGTCAGCCTCTCATCAAGTAACTCTCCATTTGAGCACCCCACACAAAAATGACAAGTGTGGGATCAAGACAGTAGATCTCAGTGAAGGCCTTCCCAGTCTGAGTCTCCCACGGTGCTGGCCAGCCCGCTTCCCGACTGACCTCAGCAAGGCTTTGGCAGTCCCATCTCTGTGGGAGGCGTATGGCTGGTGCATTGGGTTCCTGGTGTCTGGCGGGGAGGCTGCCCGGGCAGGAGGCCAAAGGCCGGCCCTGCATCTGGGGGCAGCCACAAATAGCCTCGCAGGGCCCCAGCCTCGCCGTCCACAGTGACAAGCAGGGATGGCCAAGGGGGCGCTCAGCGACCACGGACTGGAGGGCACGGACCCTGCGGGCAACCACAGCCCATAACCCAACGCCACGCCCCGCAAACGCACACTGGAGAGCGCCCCCCGCCCCTCCCCCGGGCCCTCGCAGGAACTCCTTCCCCTCCGAGGGCCAGGCCTCCTGGCCCAGCGTGGGGAGATGGTCTGGGGAAGCTGAGGAAGGAGAAGGGGCAAGGCTGGCGCTGACGAGAGCGGCCGGAGGCTGCGCCGGCACCAGCCACACCGCTTAGGAGGGGTCATCCCAACCTTGGTTTACAGCGCTCTGTTAGGAAAACTAACCAATGAATAAAGCAACGTTCAGTGCGCAGGGAGTGGAAGTCAATGCCCACCGCCTCGCTCCTCGCTGCCCCTCAGAATGACAAAATTTACGTCTCAGGAACATCACCTAGTCGCCAATAGATGGGGCGCATGCGCAGAAGCCACCCGCTGCTCCCCTCTGGCGCGCTTTCCCATGGTGCCCAACGGCCAGCTTGCTTCCTGATTGGCTGTCTTCCGCCATCTTTGTTAAGGGCACCAAGGGGGCTCCCGGCCGCCTTCAAGGTGTGGGCGGAGGCCCCGCCCCACTCGGTTTCTGGATACGTGCCGGAAGGTTCTAGCGCGCTGATGTGTGGGTCTGGGGAGAACGTGCAACGCCTGCGGTGGGCACAGGGTAGGAGGGAAGCGGACGAGCGACGCTCACGTGGTGCTAGGGACCGTCTCCTAATTCCGCGCCAGCACTACTGGTGTTTCCGGAGCTGGAGAGCGCTTTTGGTCCCGAGCCCAGCTTCCGGCAAGGTCACCGCTGACCCGGCTTCCCTACACGACCATTCAATGACAGAGACGCCCAGGGCTGAAAATGGAGTCCTTAATATTGAACCAATGGCCTTTATTTTCTCCATCTTTATTTGATGATAATAAAAAGCTAAATCTTTAAAATGAGCGCCTACTGGGTACCAAGCAACAACCCTGTGCTTACCGCCCTGGGTTGTTGCAGAGGTTCAAAGAAATAATACGTGCAAAGCACTTAGAAGAGAGCTTTAACAAGTGAGTGCTCAGTAAATGTGGGCTACTAGTAGGTTTTACAGACGTAGCTAATAGGTGGCACAACTTGGGATTTGAACCCAGAACCACCTGTCTTTAATGGCTGCCTCTTCCTTGCCTGATACCTCCCAAATCCAAAGGATTCACAGCTTTAGCGAAGTGCACTCATTGCTCACGTGAGTAAACTGAGGTCCAGCTGGGGAAGAGTTTCTTAGTAATCACTACCACCCAAGACCACTCATTCTGTTCTCACTTCCCTAACGTCTTGTTTCCCTTGCCTCGTTCGTTCGTTCGTTCGTTCGTTCTTTCATTCATTCATTCATTCATTCATTCATTCATCCATTCTAGGTCCTGCCCCCAAAGAATCTTGGTCTAGGGGTTATGCCGATCCAGTTAGACCTCAGAGCTTGATATATGAACAGGGCACCTGGCAAGAAGGCACTCGAGTCCAAATATCCACCTCACCGGGGTGCTCACTGTTCACCATCCCCAGCCTCATTAACTCAGCTCAACTTAAGAGCACAGGACCTGGAGCCACGGCCTGGATTCAAATGCCAGCTTCACCACTTCGCTGGATGACCTGGGAAAGTGACTTTTTTTTTTTTTTTGCCTCTATTTTCTCGTCTGTAAAATAGGGGTCCCAGGTTGGTGGGAGGCTTTAAGGAAGTAATCTGTCTAGAGTCTTTAGCCAATGGTCTGGCCAGTAGTAAACTTAATAAATGCTTTCTTATAATTAATCTTTGCAACTGTCCCAGAAATGAACACTGTGTTCCCCATATAATAAATTAATAAAATGAGGCTCAGAGTACAGTCTCTTGCCTGAGGTCACACAGCTATAAAGTGTAACTAGGAAGTGTAGCATGCCGCATTTGAATCCCAGTCTCTTTGGCTCCAAAACTACAGTCAGTCGTGGGAAAGGATTGCTCTGACCACTCAACCCCAGAGAAAACGTGAAGAATATTAATCTGTAAAACCCAAGCCTGGGAGAGGGGCTTCTGTGCGCGGGGTAATTTGCAGACGCTCCCTGCTGGCGGAGACCACACGACCTGTCCTTCAGCCCGGGACCTTCAGCCGGTCCCGCCGCGGCCGACTTGAGCTGTAGTGGAAGCTGAGGTGGTAACGGCAGCAGGACCTGCTGCAGGGGCTCCTGCCGAGGCGGAAGCGCCATGTCCGAGCCACCCCCACGGGATGCGGAGCGCGACCTTTTCCGGGACACGTGGGTGCGGTACCTAGGTGAGTGGGGGGCGAGGGGCACGGCAACTCCCCCACCATGTGGCTGGAGAGGCAGGGGTCGCCAGACGCCGGTCAGGGCCCTGGAGAAGGAGGAAGGATCATAGTTCTCATTCTGCATGGGCCAGAGACGGCTCAGAGAGGGCTCAGGACTTGCCCAAGGTCACACAGCTCAGGTCCGCCCAGCCCGGTCCTCGGGGTCTGTGCTGGTCAGGCTCCCAGGTGTAGGCTCCAACCGGGCAGGGAGGAACGGGGTGAGCGGGCTGCCCTCTCGGGTATGTCTGGGCCCTGGCTGTGGAGTCGGTATCTGGACACTCATACTGGCCCTGTTTGACGCTCGGTTTTCTGCTTGGCATCAATACAGATGAACATTGTCTCTCTCATGGGGTGGTAGTTGGAAGGGTAGCATGAGATAAGGCACAGGAAAGACCTGGCACATGGTGAGTGCCTCATCAGCCGACCTGCTCTTAGTCTGCATTGGTGCCCACGCTTCTAGAACCTAGACTGGGAAGGCAAGGGAATGATAATTGTGACTGTACTCAGCTCTCCCACAATGGTCCTAGAGTCGAGGTGGACTTAATGGTTGCCTTTTTATAGACTGGGAAACGGAAGCTCAGAGAAATAAAATCGCTTATCTAAGGTCACTCAGCTACTATTTAGCAGGCTGGGATTAGGACCAGTGCCTCCTTGTGGAGCAAACCGGCCGCAGCACTGGAATTACTATTATTATTATTATTATTATTATTATTATTATTATTATTATTTTTCTTTTTTTAGAGAGACAGAGAGAAGGGGCTGAGGGAGAAGGAGAGAATCTTAAGCAGGCTCCACGCACAGCACAGAGCTCATCTCAGGGCTTGATCTCATAACTCTGAGATCATGACCTAAGCCAAAATCAAGAGTCAGATGCTTAATGGACTGAGCAACTTAGCCGCCCCCCACCATCGAAATTAAATGTCTCCTCCCCAACAGGCTATGCCAATGAGGTGGGAGAGGCATTCCGCTCCCTGGTGCCAGCAGCTGTGGTGTGGCTGAGCTATGGTGTGTCCAGCTCCTACGTGCTGGCTGATGCCATTGACAAGGGCAAGAAGGCGGGAGCTGTGAGTGTTGGCTTGTCCCTTAACCCCCTACTGTAGTCTAGTCCCTTTGTGATTCCATCCACAGCCTGCATGTGGTAAAATCCCTGGTGCAACAGTCCAGTCCCAACAACCTTGTCTGTTGCAGTCCATACCCCAGTCCTGTTTGTAGGGTCGTGCCCCCCGCCTCCAGCCCTGCATGTGAACTAGCCTGTACCCTACAGTTCTGGATGTGAGTGAGTCCACCCTCAGCCCTGAATTGGTACAGTCCAGAACCTGACAGTAGAGGGGTTCTGTCCCCACTCCCACCCCCACCCCACACTGGCCACTTCCCTCCCCTGGTCCAGCCTCATGCCCCTTGTCCACAGGGTTTCCCACCTCTGCCCCTGCTGGGTTAATTATCTCTTGTCCCCACCAGATACCGAGCTCCGAAGCAGGCCGCAGCACCAGGGTGACCGTGGCTGTGGTGGACACTTTCGTGTGGCAGGCTCTGGCTTCTGTGGCTATCCCAGGCTTCACTATCAACCGTGTGTGTGCTGCCTCTCTCTACATCCTGGGCACGGCCACGCGCTGGCCTCTGTCCGTCCGCAAGTGGACCACCACTGCACTGGGGCTTCTGGTCATCCCTGGCATCATCCACCCCATTGACAGGTGGGTGCCCCTTCCAGCCTCAGGGATCATCCACTCTGTAGGTGGTGAGAAGCTCTGAGAGACGTGGGGTGTCCCTACTTGGCATAGAACAATAGCAGCGGGGGCAGGGCTGGTAGTCAGGGCTCTGAGACAGAAAGGACAGTCTGTGCCTGTGTTCTGGCAAGTACCTTGGCAGTAAAGGTACGGGTGGTGCCTTGAGGGTATGGGACACAGGACCAGTAAATTCTAGAAAGAAAACCTAGTGTTAAAGAACAATCTGAGGCAGGCAGGAACAGGTGCACATTGTAGGGGATGGATTTGGGGAGATTTTGGTGACGAAAGCCTGACGGAAACTGGGTTAAGTAAAATAAGAATGAATTGTTTCATGAAACTGAAAAGTCCAGAGTTATGCTGCTTTCAGGCATGGCTGGATTGAGGCACCCAAATGGTGTTATTAGGGGTCTTGGTCTCCCCAGCCTGCTGCCCTTCTTCCCACACCACCCCATGTTGGCTTCACTCACTTTCCCCACGTGGGAGCAGAGATGGCCTCCAGCAGCTCCTAGCTTCCTTCCCACCAGCTTAGCAAGCCCCATAGGAAGCTTCTCATAGTTAACCAAAAAAATCCCAAGGAAGGTTGTCATTGGTCTATTCTGGACAGAGTGCCCACCCCTGAGCCAATTTCTCTTTTCTGATTGGCCACACTTGGGTCATGTGCCTGCTCTTAGAACCAGAGATTGGGGCCAACTCAACCAGACCAACAGAGAGTGGGAGGAGCAGTCCTTTCCCAAGGGAACCCAGCTGACCCAAAGACCCTAAGTGAGGCTTTTACCTTCTTTGTGCCTCAGTTTCCCCAACTGAATAAAGAAAAGGGTGATGTCTGCCACCTGGATGGCACTTGTGTCCTGCATCTAGGAGTCCCTTTCCTAGCCCTGATCTCCTATCCCCCTTTCCCTTCCTCCCAGGGGTCACTTGCTCATCACTATCCACCACCCCACAGGTCAGTGGACTTCCTTCTGGACTCCAGCCTGCGCAAGCTCTACCCCTCAGTGGAGAAGCCCAGCTCCTCCTGACCCCACCCTGGTACTTGGCCTGTGGGTTGGCCCACTGCCTGCTCTGGTCCAACTTCTTCCTCCTGCCAGGGGATGTGGATGCCTGGCTCCCTGGGGTCTGAGGCCCTGGCATCTGAGTATTTTGAGCCAGATGGAAACTGAGAGACAAAGGCCTCAAGGAGCGGCAGCTGCTGTGACTCACAGAAAGGGAGACCTGAACCCCACCTGCTTCCATGGAATCCGTGATACTGAGGGGGAGTGGACCTGTTTTTTGACAGGAAAGTAACATCCTCCCATGGAGGATACAGAAGCCCAGATAGGGCAAGGAATACAGCCAAGATCACTTAGCAAGCTGGAGCCCCAGGAGCCCCAGTGGCTTGGCCCCATGGCAGTGTGGCTGGGCCGAGAAGCAGCAGACAATCAGAGAAATGCAGGAATGCAGTCATGGGCACCCTGAGGACTGATTGTCCAGTTAGCCCAGCCCTGGTGCTGGACCTGCTCCAGCCTGGCTGGAAGGCAGGACAGCCCCCGGCCCAATAAATCCTCAGGAAGTTGAGTTCTCTTCTCCTGTTCTCTTGGGGATGAGCAGAGGTGTGGTGCTGGGGAGCAGGCCCTGGGGGCCCTCAGAGGTAGGGCCTGACTTCTCCGGCCACGCATGGCTCACAGTATGTCAGGTACTCCTCACCCATCAACGCTCCCCTGCAGATGCCTGGGATCCCACCCTTGGTGCTGCCAGTCTCCTTTGGGCATTGACCTCTCTGCAAGCCTCCTAAAGCACCAGCTCCTCTGGAAGGGATACCACCTGAGCCTGAAGGTGCCCAAGATGAAGACAACTCCCATATGAGTATCAACGGGGGACTCCCAGGAGGAGACTCAGGAACCTTGGAGAAAAGGGAGCGACCCAGGAGGCTGTCCCTGGGAGCACTGAAGGGGGCATTCCTCCTTGATTCTGGGCCAGGCCCTTTTTTGGCTGCTAACAACTCAGAGGGGTAGAGAGATGGGGAGTGGGGTTTGGGATATGGAGCATGGGGCATGGGGCAGAAGCAGGCCTAGGTCCCTGTCGCTCAGCCCTGACCCAAGCCACAAATCAGTTCCAGCCGAGACCCTGGCCATGCCCCTCGCAGCTTGGGTGCAGGCTTGGCGGCTAGCCCCCTCCCCAGAGAGACCCCCTGCACCTGGATGGGGACTTACAGGGGCCTAGGGACTGGCCAGGATTGCTGGTGAGACAGGATGGGGGCTCAGGTTGTGGCTCATGCTCTGGGGGAGTCTGTAGCTACAGGGTAAATCTCTCTGATGGTGGGCCTTTCTCTGCTGCCCTTCTCATCCCACAGCAGCTGGGTTCCTTTCCCAGGCTCCCCTTGCCCTGTGCCCAGTCTCCTACTGCTCCCTCTGGCTCCCTTCAATGCTCTGAGCCCCCTTCTAGGCCCCTCTCCAGTCCTGCACCTCCCCATCTCCCCACCAGGGTCGACCCACACCTATATCCCTATGACATCTGGGCACTGCCACCCAGTTCCCTGCTCACTTGGTCTCTACCTTGGTCACCGACATCATGGTGTAAACATATTCTTTTCTTGCCTTCGGACAACTAGCTTCATTTTCTCTCAACTTTGAGCATCACTGAGCAGATACCAGGTCAGAAGGTTAGAGGTGTATAGAGGTTGGGTGGGTGGATGGCTTCAAGCCTTCCCGTGGGATATCTTTGTCTTCCCTTTGTCTCTGGGAAGTCCACTGAGGAGGCTTCCCACAGGATGATCTGGTCCTTTGAATTGAGTCAGGCTTCTGACTCCAGGGGTTGCAGAGGTGAGTGAGGGAGCCCTTTTCCAGAGCCTGGGCCCTTCTTGGGATCCCCTTCACAGTGGGAGACACTGGGGCCCCAGGTTCAGGGGCCCCGTGGCAATCCCAGCAGAACCTGGTTCTGGCCTCTTCCTCCCTTCCCCCTGCCCCCACTTGGCCCCCATTCATGGCCCCCATTCAAGCCTGAAACCTCAGGCAAGTTAGCTGTGAGCTCATTCACTCCATCACTGTGGAAGCCACTCACCCCTCTGAGCCTCCTCATCCTGAAGAAGGATAACTGCTGTCCACTGTATATGGTTAATAAATGCTACCCTTTTACTGCCAGGCAGCTCCTCTTTTTCTGTGATGAGCATGTGATTCTCCCAAGAATCCTGCGCAGTACCTCAGTGTTTATAGCAATGTCCACAATAGCCAAACTATGCAAAAAGCCCAGATGTCCATTGACAGATGAATGGATAAAGAAGATGTGGTGTGTATACACAATGGAATATTAATCAGTCATCAAAAAATTGAAATCTTACCATTTGCAACAATGTGGATGGAACTAGAGGTATGCCAAGCGAAATAAGTCAATCAGAGAAAGACAATTACATGATTTGACTCATACGTGGAATTTTAGAAACAAAATGAGGGGAAGGGAGGGGAAAAATAAGACGAAATCAGAGAGGGAGACAAACCATAAGAGACTCTTAACTAGAGGAAACAAACAGGGTTGCTGGAGGGGAGGGGAGTGGAGGATGGGGTAAGTGGGTGATGGACATTAGGGAGGGCACGTGATGGAATGAACACTGGGTGTTACATGCAACTGATGAATCACTAAATTCTACTTCTGAAACTAATACACTACATGTTAATTAATTGAATTTAAATTAAAAAAAAGAATCCTATGCAGTAGACAAAATCATCCCCATTTTATTTTTTTTAAAGATTTTATTTATTTATTTGACAGAGACACAGTGAAAGAGGGAACATAAGCAGAGGGAGTGGGAGAGGGAGAAGCAGGCTTCCCGAGGAGCAGGGAGCCCCATGCGGGGCTCGAACTCATGACCTGAGCCAAAGACAGACACTTAACGACTGAGCCATTCAGGTGCCCCAAATCATCCCCATTTTAGAGATAAGGAAACTGAGGCTTGAGGTCACATAGGTACAAGGTAGTCCAGTACTCCCATACTCTCTCCACGTCATCAATACAGTCTGGCTGGTGGAAGCTGTTGCCCATCCCCCTCACACCCATGACAGGGACTCTGCTCACGGTGGTGTTGATGTCCATCCTAGGCCTGCATCTTCACCCACTGCCTCTGGTTCAGGACACAGAGCCTTGCAGGCATGTCTAGCTCCAGGCCTAGGCAGTGGGGTCTAAGGAGTCCCCAGTGCCTACTGGGGTTTTCAAAGAAAACGATATTCACCAATGACTGCCACTCATGGTTTTCCTGAGGTGGGGCTGGAGGAAATTAGTTCTCCAAGAGCAGGAGTTAGTGTTGGCTCTCCTGGGAGGTGATGCCCCTAGGAATGAGCAGGTCTTGTGCCTGCCACATGTGAACTTGGGCAGGAGTGCTGGGGTGGTGGGCAAACCTGTGGCTTGCCTGGGGGCACTAGAATCAGGGTGCTTCTCCCTTTGCTCCTTTAATGTTTGCTCAGGGGCCCAGCAGCCCCCTAGGCAGCAGTGGGGCCTCTTCTGGATGCCTGAGACCTGGCCCATCTGGAGGCTTACTTTGCACATCCTCTTGCTGTGGGCCAATGAGTGGTGTGCTAGAGGTGTTCATAGGGGCCAGAACCGAGATCGTTACCTTTTTAGGAATCATTTTAAACATAAGCCATTATTAAAAATTAAGTAATGGGGAGGGACACCTGGGTGGCTCAGTCGGTTAAGCGTCTGCCTTCGACTCGGGTCATGATCTCAGGATCCTGGGATCCAGCCCTGCTTTGGGCTCCACGCTCAGCCCGGAGTCTGCTGCTCTCTCTCCCTCTCCCCTCCCCCATTCACCCCCCCCAATAAATAAATAAAATCTTTAAAAAGGTTAAATAATGGGGAGAGGCTAGCACAAGGCAGCTGCGGCATGTCGGAGCGTGAAGGGCCTGGTTGCTGTAATAACCGGAGGAGCCTCCGGTCTAGGTCTGGCCACGGTGGAACGACCGGTGGGGCAAGAGGCCACTGCCATGTTTCTGGACCTGCCCAACTCTGATGGGCAACGTGCAGTAACTAAAAAAGTATAGCTTCTCAACTCTGCTTAGTGACTTCTCTTGGGTAGCCTGAAATAGGTCACCAGGGGACTTTCTACACCATGGAGATCAACAAATCAGGGTCCCCCCGCCAGGGGAGCCAGGGGTTAAATGTTTACCAGCACACCACTGCTCTGGCCCTCCTGCCAACCCAGGAGGTGGGTCATAGCACCATCCCCCTGTGCAGAACCCCATCTAGGATCAGACAGGGCAAGTGACTTGGCAGAAACCTCACAGTCTACAGGGTCACAGGTAAGACTCAGCCCTGCTCTGCTCTTTCTCCTCCCCAAAAGGCCAGGCAGGGAGAAGGGAAGGTGGCCTTGGCTGCAGCCCCTGCTTGTCTGGAGCCTTCACTCCAGCTTTTTCCTCCTCCAGCTGGTATCCCAGCACCTGATGCTTGGGCTCAGGCCCTTCTCGCTCACTCTTCCTTGGGTGTTTTCATTCACTCATGTAGCTTCTGGCCCCAATCCTCTGTCGCCACATGCCCTATCTGTCCCCTCCAGGCTTGGATGAGGGTAGCAGCCTCTGGCTTGTCCCCCCCCATCCTGCCGCCAGCTTTTCTATCTAGCCAACCACTTCTTAAAATGTTCAGAACAGAGTCCAGACTCCTTGAGGTGGCTCTTAGAGCCCTTAGACCCCACCCTTGCCCCCTACCCTAAATCTTCATTTCAGCTGCTCTGTCCTTTCTGGTTTCTTGGATCTGGCATTTGTCTCAACTGGGCTTTCTCATACACTGTTCCCTCCAACTGGGACACTCCCTTCCAACCTTTCCCCCATTGCTTCCTGCACGCCCACGCACCCTCCCCTGACTATAGCCCACTTAATTCCTGCCCCCTCAAGTACCCTCTGATCCCCTAGGACTGGCATTGGAGCCTCCTCTGTGCTTCCTCCAGCCCAATAGTTCCTCCACCGCCTGAGAGGAGGGCCAGACCCCTGTTGGGATTGGGGACAGGGAGGCTTGTCTTTTCCCACCCCCCTCAGGGCTTTGTCCAAGAGCATTCTGGGAGTTGGGAATCCCGTGGCCACCTTCATGCAATGCTCAGCATCACCACAAGGAGGCAGCACCACAAAACATGCTCTTGTTGGCTGGTTCAAACTGCCTCCGGGATTATTGAGAACAGTGTGGGTCAAGTCCTGTGCTAAGCACTTCCTGTGATGTGGCTCATTTACTCTTTACAATCATATCATAGTTAGGTCCCTGTTTCCTGGAGTTGGAGTCACTGGCCCAAGCTCACCCAGTCTGGCCTCTACCCCTCCCTGCCCACCCACATAACTCAACATTCCTCCCACCTCCTCCACCTTCCCTCTCTCC